TAGCCATTGCAGACAATATGAGTCAATTATGTTGTGGAGGAAATACTCAGACGCATTTATGCGGAGACACCGCGATGTGAAGCGAGCTGCTTTCATGTATCGAGACTGCGCTAACTAACGCGTACTGCGTTTAAACAAGCTTAAGTCCATTCTAAGCAAATGCTATGGTAACAACCCGCACGCCTATGTGACCGCCACGGAGATGGACTGTCATTACAATTCAGCTTGCAAACATCAGCACAGCATGACTTGATGACAGAATCGGTGATTTTTTTCTGAGGGAGGTAAAACGTCATGCGTAAAAAGCCAGGATGTCTAGAAGCCACAAATTGATACTAGAGGCAGGCGAAACTCATACGAATATGATAAGATTCTACTGAATTCGCTTAGCCTGCCAACTCGTGCAACCCGCGCGGCTCATGAATTTATAGTTGTGACCGTGCTCAATCGGTCTAATTATCGTCGTGTCAAAATAGGATTGAGCTATACTCGATAAGTTTACAAAAAAATGCTCAAACATATAGTGCTTACGCAAGTTTACTGAAGTATAGCATAACCCCACTCATGTCGAATTGGAAGCACTTCGATTGAACGAAGAAACGTCTTTGTAACAATTTGTAGCTGAGCCGCATGCTCTTTTAAGGCAGCGACATAATCTTAAGGCACAGAGTGTGCGCTACGTTTTAATTGCGAAGCCGATGCTAACGAACTGAACCCAACTTTTGCCTAATCTCAGTTTCTAACACGCGCTGAAGCTCTCGGAGAGAGTCAACGTTCATGCTTACGAAATCCAGCAGCGCAAGGGTCAATTTTAGCCGGCACTGCTTGATGAGTAAGAGTGGGGTGTCGTAACACTCTTTCTTTTGTTGGGAAAGGGCACGAAGTGCGAACTTGAATAAAGGAAATGCTGAGTGCAGTGAGACCTTTCCCGTCGTGAAAGGCTAATCATGTATTTTTGAGAAGTCTCGGTCAGACCTCGCAAAGTTACTGTTACCAATCTCATTATAGAGCACCTCGGCTAATCGTCGAGAATGAATTTTAGAGTGTTGAGAGCAAGGACCGCACCCTTTATGAAGACCTGTTTGGTTGTTTATTTTAAGTGCATGGAGCGGGGTACTCTGCGGGAGAATGTTCTGAGGAGAAGGTACGGTAAAGTGCAGAGGGTGAGGTCCAGATCTACGTATAGTGGTCGCTCGTTGAGAGTTCAATTTTTCGGTGCCTTATAAGTATAAAAGAAGTGTAGTCTACTTTGAAGTAGGGATGGCGAATCGAGCTATCTTGAAATCCTACGTTCTTACACCTTCTACTTTTGTACAATTGTATAAATTTGACATTGCATTTTGGTGTAATCGTGACAATCGACAGATACCGAAGTAGTCGTATATATGAAGATGGTTAGACTTTGTAAAGGAGAGATACTGGTCCAAGTGGGCCGCCAGCTGCACGTCGAATGATAGAGATATTAATGTTATGGTATACAATAAGACGACATATTTCTAGTATAAATCAAATAAAATCAATCGAGCATTCATGCCTTTCGTTGAATAGCAGAGCGCTCTGTTAGCTTAATAAGATATAAGATTCGAGGCTATAGTCTTCGCTCCTGGGTCGAGCGAACAGTATCGGCTTTTGTGCGTTCGTATTCAATGAATTTCCGAGTCGAAGGCAGCCTAGTAGAAGAGCGTACCTTGTTATGCTCCATTTTCACGAAACATTGTTGTATTTTGGTCTTGAAATTAAGCTTTTTAGTATCAAGGTGAAGTTCCATCGTGACATTAAGGATGGTCCATGATATATCACCAATCCGGCCTCAAGAAAAATTACGGTACGTGGCTGGGTTGCCAGTAGTTATGCATAGATTTGGATTTTTCTATATATATTTGGTAAAATCTATACATTTAAAATCAGGCGGCTTTGCCGCAGATAAAACAAATACATACAGTTTACATTTTAAACAGAAGAGTTTATTATCCTTGGGTTAAGGCTCTAACTACTCTTGAACAACAAATTATGTTTTTAAGCTTCTGTCTTCAGCTGTTCCCGAGGGTGTAGGCAAGAGGCATCACGAGGACCAGAAACGGGGATTGTTTAGACGGCAGTTGACACTGGTGCATGCACCCCCTAACTCTGTTTTTGTGTGCTATCAAAATTCTTGTCCACCCGTCCGAATTGTTAAGCAGACAAGGTTTTCGAAAGGCTGCGAGGTGACAGATCATATCAAAAGGACATATATGAATGGAGATTTGTACAGACGCACCTTTTAACTTTTTTACTGTCCTTCTGCGCTCACATGTTCTTTATCGCGGAAGCGGTAGACGTCCGAAGAACAACTCTTATTTTGCGCGGGACGGTTAAAGCAACCGTTTCAGGAGCGCGCGAGATGCGATTTAGCACAACCAATTGAGAAACGAAGAGTAATTTCCTAGGTGCCGAACAACTCTGGGTAATTACAGAAACTCACTTCCAGTATATCTGCTTTTTTCTAGGTTGATCGACATACAAGGTCGTGCTGAAACGCTAGGTCGACCGATGAGCTTCTCTTGTTTAACCGTTAAGGCCAGTAGCCCGTTCTAGCCCACTGAGAAAACTAAGTTATATTATATCTTGTGGAGGGTCGAGGTCCAAGCCAATCGAATCCATCCCAAGAAGAAGCAAGAAGAGGTGTCTTGAAGCCCAAGATTGCTAATTGATATCAGTGTATCGGCTTTGTGAAGCCAAAGGAATATGCTGATAGGTTGAGGAGTATCGTGAGATAAAAAATGGCTGTCAGAAATGGCAGATCCTACAGGGGTGCATCGGAGAAGCCTAATACTGAGATGGTGTCGATGTGGTCGCTAGAGTATATATCCGAGGAGACGGACATATACAGCTAAAAGTGCTGGGTCTTCGGATATTAGTTCGAGTCGAGCAGCCATTCGTCACCATTAAATGTCTCGATTTCGCGAAGCTAACTGTAAGCAGCATAATGCACTGGACTTCAGAAAAAAAAAAGTAGACAGGAATCGCGTGTAGATACAATGCAGATTCAAAAGCTGCATCACCATCATGCCAATTTGCAGCAAGTTCAATCAACAAATCAACAATCAATATTTAAATCGCAATAGTGGTCACATTTGGCTAATTTTTAAGCATGCACCAGAAACCACTCGCCGTTAGCCTTTTTGACACAGTAAGACAGCGCCGAGTGGGGGGGTATACTTCTACCACCAATCCCGCTTCATATTTCACAAGCAAGAAAGCGTCAGTGGCGTCACACTATTCCATCAAAAATGTTTTTACTGAATTGAAACATTTATCGTGCGACGCAATTAAAAAATGGAGTTCAGGTCAATCTGATGATGCAGCCTCAGTTTTGGGTTAACGCTTGTGGTGCTTCCCTCGTCATCATGTAGTAATATCCATTCACCAGAGTAGACGAAGGGTTTCTGACACTCCGCCCATCAACGAATGTAAACACTCCACACAATCTCCTGTTCGCTTAACGTTTTCACGGCGATCATGAATCTCTGTGTTACTGACCGAGCTGAATCATCACACCTCGACGAGAATTGACAATTCGTAATAACAAGATGATCTGGTCTTTCTACTCTTGACATTGTGAAACACACTCAAGAGAGAAGCAAAAATAAAGCTGGAGGATAGATTCTTGGGACTACATGCGAGAAATTACAAATTGTCGAGGTCACCGAGTCAATAATTATAGTATCTTAAGATGAGCAACACTCTTCATCCGACACGGATGAGTCTACTTTTGAAAAATCCTGCGGAGCACAGAGTGCGAAACCATATTAATGGACTACCGATACGTTATTTTTATGAAACGTACAAAATCGATAACGCTGTAGCACGTCTAGAAGCACCACAAACGGATGTGAAGCAACGTAGAAACAAGGTACCCGCAACGATGCTGCTCCAAATCATGGATTCGCCATGCCATCCCTTGGCCCTTCGAAACAAATTGACACGTCAATGGTCCCATACTAAAAAAAGTCACTGCTTGGGCGCTTTGTGTGGAAAGCACGAAGCGGGCCTTATGGAAGTAGGTAAATCCTCCCACTCGCCACCAACATTTTGCACCAGAAAGACGGACGGCAAGGGTGGAGTGCAGCTATTATCCCGGCGGGTTCTTAAGAACTGATCCCAGTTTGATAGAGGAATAGGCATCAATTTTGTTACTATCAACTCGGCCACACATCGCTGTAAAATTAATCATGTCATTCTACATAGATTGAACATCGTACGCAAGGTGCGTGGTATTATGGCCGAGACTCAATATGTCATGCAGAAGCCACAGACAGAAATGCCACCTTAAGCTTTGGAGTTATCATCAAGCGCAATCATATTTACAACACATGCAGCGCTTACATTTCTCGAGACAAAAGCATACCCCCGCCATATTGGACCGCAAAGGTCATATCTATAATGGGTTTGTATCACCCTCTTGACCTCCTTAGGCAATTTAGTCACATCTCGTGCTCTACGTGGATTTGTTGAAACCGAATGGTGTCTGAATTTCTGGATCAAAGTAGTAAATCTGATAAAATGATACGCGTGAGATTGCATCCATATAAAATTCCAGTAGTTTGGAGTAGCATAGATAGAGTACTATGTGATCGGCATCGCTAGATTACGATGCAATGAGAAGCTACGTCGTATATTAAACGTGATCAAACGTGACAGTCTTTTTTCATGTTGCTGTCTTACCTTGATGGATTATACTCTTAATTGACACCCATTTGCAAAGGCTTTGACTTGACCCACCCAGCTTTCATAGACTAAGATGCTCTACACTTTAGTTTGTTTAATCGTTGCTGAGCGCACTTTGCATCACATATGCTTCGTCTCACCGTAGTCGTGGTAACAGATGCTCCACGTCCAGCCAGACAAAAAGTTGCAGTGAATCTGTTTCATCGTCTCTAGCAGTGATTGCTAAATTTATGCTGACAAATCTTATCATGTTTAGACTATCATCGCATGTCTGGAAGAAAATGCCTTTGTGGCTGTATTTTAGATGTTGTGAGCGCATCTTCCTTGCTTGCGTGTCACAAAGCGCGAACTATGTATCAGATTGTTAGTAAATTAAAAATGCATTGCGTCATGTGGTGAACCAAGTTCCTTACTCATCTAATGAACTGTTTCAGTCTCTCATCGCTGTATCCATGACACGGTCCACCTTTTGATTGTAAAAAATGAAGTCATTGCATATGTAGACAGCTTAATAGCGTTTATCACAGCCTTATCACACACAGGAAATTCGTGCGTGTTTCGCCCGCTTTTGGCATCTGTATGATGCTTCTGTAGATTCTAATCGTATAGTGCACTTGGGTCATAACGCTCGACATGTTTCTAAGTGTTGGTCACAAAGCCATGAGATAGCGTCAAATGCTTCAAGCACCTCAATCCGATCAGCGTAGCAAGTGATAACTTTTGTTATGCATCATTTGCCAGTCTCAAAGCGGAAATCGTAACCTTTGAGCCAACAAAAATTCGACATTTTATACGTGTGACCACACACTGTAAGTTTATTATAGGTACGCTGCCATAATGGACTGGTCTTTTCTTTTAAAGGTCAAAGCACGATGATTGACAAAGTCCTGTCACCTCTCAACGATTTCCTCTTTAAAAATACAAACATCAGTGCTTCAAGTCTCTCTAATGATCACCAAATTTCAGAAGCCTTCAGGTGGCTATTGATGGTCTCAACTCACGACGCATATTGCTAACAGCAGGAAGAACGTGTCGTTGTTGTTGGTACGTGCGATCTGACTCCTTGGCTACCAATAACAAAAAGGTTGTACTTTAGAACTATTTATGGCAAAGATCTAATAGATTGACAAAGTTTCATACGTCAAAAAATTTCAGTGTGTAGCATTATTCGCTTTGTTCGCACATCTTCAATGCGTTCTAAAGATAGGCGACAACGTCTACTTGCATGCTCATTTGAATCTAAATACTTAAATCCTCTTCAAAGATCGTTTAAACGACATGCGCAGACTTTACCAATGAAGCAATCACTTTATCTTTCCCACCGGGAGACGACAAACGATACGAACAAGTGTTCAGATTATTACTTGGTTTAAAAAAGCCAATCAATCTTACGATGCGCTTTGTTAAAACAAACAGAGAAGATTTTCTTTGTAAATAAAAAGGTTCGGAGCTTAGAATTCACGAATCCAGCAAAGTGACAGCAACATGCTACGAATGCAATATAACATTCCTGCAAGATGTAGTAGCGACAACTAAGCGTTAAATCGTCGGATCTATCCATGATGTTTCTGGACGATCGCAATATCCGTACAAGGGATACATGTCCCGATTTTCTGCCTTGTTTTTACTATCACTGGTGGAAAGCACATGCTCAGTACGCTAGCTTGTATTCGCAAAGAGTCGACATTTCGACTCGCTGAGATCTAGGCCATGTATGTATCCCGCTTCTATGCCACTCTGCACATCTCGCGCATTGTGTAGCATGGATATTTCTGTATAAATGTTAGGGTGTTCATCTCGACGTGCACAAAGTACCAATTGTTCACTCTTCAATTTCCTCTGTGTCGAGAAGATAACACACCCATCCATTCGTCTTGGCTTTCGAGCCATTCCACTAAAGTGCTATGGTCTATTCACCTAGCATTTACCTCATTTCTGCTGCTGTAGCCATCGCAACAACTTTGCGGATGCAACAAACTTCTGCCTCGTCACTATACTACGCGACGTACACTACGGCGGAAAACATGGATGTGCTCAGCAGTTCATTTCCTGGTGCTGGAACTGATGTTCCTGAAGAAAACTATGCTTACGAGGTTAACATTGACCCGACACTTCCAGATATCAACACAATTTCGAAGGTACCCGTGATGGATCCACAGTTGTTAACCAATAAGACGAACGAAGTGGGCTTTGTTGTGTCCGAGAAGGTGGGAGTTGCTGTGTTAGTGGTGGACTCTCAAGAAGATGACGATGCTTACGCTTACGTGAATACATCGTCTCTTACGGCGCTGTCATTTGAAAACGAAAAGTCTACAGACTGCGCTACTGGCTGGGAGAATCATGATACTTCCATGCCGGAAGAAAGTGAACACCATGAGCAGAGTCGTCGCCTTGAGGCTTATTCGAACAGAGACCTTGTAAGAGTCGAAAAGTTTTTTAATGTCAAGTTGGAGCTTCAACTCAGTAAACTTCCAACTGAGTCAAAGCACTTAACGGCACCGTGGCCTGCTCCATACTGGCCAGCGTACCAGGACAGCATCAATGTTGTCTTGAAACCGGGAACCTTAAGTCCTGCTGCGAAATACGCTACCGCCTTTGGTTTGGATGTCACCGCGTTTATGGACGGAATTTCTGCGAAATACGGTATTGACTCGAGGATAAATGCTACCCAGTGCACGAAAACCGATCAATGTACTAAAAGTCAATTCAAATCAGAATGTTATAAGCGTGCGAACAAGACCGAAGGCCGCTGTATCCCTCAGTGGTTTGGTATCTGTCACGCTTGGTCGGCAGCAGCTATTGCGGAGCCCGAGCCCAGATGCCCCGTGACACACAATGGAGTGACGTTTCAGCCAATTGATATTAAAGGTCTGCTCTCGGTTGTTTACGATGACGTTAAACTTGGACTAATGTATACCGGTGTTCGCTATCGAAAAGACAAAGTTGAAAGAGATGAATTTGGTCGCCCTAAGGATCCCGCTTTTCGTGACTTGAATCCTGCATTCTTTCACATTGTTGCTGCCAATCTTCTTGGCACGCTTGGGGTTTCATTTGTCGCAGACGTCTCAGCAGATCAAGCAGTTTGGAACCAGCCTGTACGTGGTTTCAAGGTGTACGAGCAGACTGCCATGTCACTTGAGGAAGCAGCAAAGACTTTTTACGGAATGGAAAAGTACCCATGGAATGAAGCTGCTGCGAGCATCGTATACATGAAGACACGTTTCTCGTGGGTGATCGAGTCGTACGAAGATGGCCCTCTAGTATCTACTGGAATCATTGACAAGTACACGACTGGTATGTATTACTACTATCTTCTTGAATTGGATATCAAAGGAGAACTTGTTGGCGGCGAATGGGTCTATCTATCAGACATGTTCCACCTTGACTTCATGTGGCTATTGCGGTGGAAACCTCCCATCGATGCTGTGACCAGCACGCATATCAGCTACAAGGAAGTAAGCATGCTCTTGAAAAAGTCAGTGGAATGCACTGACTCTCCTGCGGGCATGAATGGGACAAACGTGCCGTCAAACTAACCTACTTCGACTGCATGCGAAAAATTTTCAACACCTCTCAGCGACTTTGATGGTTAGATTGGTGACTTTACTTTGATACAAAAATACCGGCAATGAGGTTTTCAAAAAAAGCTGAGGCTGTATTGTTACGATAGGGAATGACGGGGATAACGACAAGCCGAACACTAGCTTTCATAACGACACAATACCTTAATTCTCATTGAATAGATATCTTCTTTTTACAGTTTTAATATTGATTTGAATTGAAAGATGCCATTTTTTGTGATATGAGTGTCCTTTCACTATAACCCACACGACGATGACGATAAAGAGAACAACTGTATTGGCAGCTTATGCTGTACAGGGAATTGGCAAGTGTGTTTCTTAATTGGAAGTACTCTCCATAATACAATGATCAATCGAAAATGATGAGGCTAATGGCTTTCGAATTTTTGGCAGTGCCAATGAGTTTCTCATCGACAATCTGTTAACAAGGATTGCTAAAATTTACAATATTCGACATGTACTCATAGCCCCATGCGATAGATTCAAGCGGATATGAAAGTCGTTCGCCTTCTCGCTGAGCAATCAGTCGGTGCAGAGACCAGCACGCCAGAAATGTGCCATCGTGAGAGCCTTCGAGCACCCACGAGTGTAAAACGACGACATAAGATCAGAAGTAACCGATCAATATACCACATTGAGATTTAAAGAATGAGAGCTGAACCAAGAACTGTACAATTCTCAAGATCGTTGTAAATGATATTATAAATTGCATTGTGCTCACGAAGCAAGCTGCAAAAGATGACCAAGGTTTTCCTGCGCATGATCGAATCAAGGATATATCGATCTTGATCTATTATCAGCCCCATGCCGCTTTGCATTTAAGCGCACATAGCTCAATGCTTGTTTAATGTAGATGTCCTATCAACAGCTAATTCATGAGAATAAAACACTAGGTGCGGCATTGTTGAGAGTGGGCCTTTAGTCGTAGTTACATGCTGTGAGCCTAAAAACGAGAGGATCGACTCTTTCGCATGTTATAGGATGATAGAATGAGGTTCTGGTTTTTATGGAAACTTGTCTGTCAATCAATTCACTTTCCAAACTACTCTGTTCGACCCAAGTGACTCAACCGATTGCCTCTGCAACTGTTATAGGCATCAAGGCCGAAGGTGACGTGGTCACTTTGATTTCTAATCTTTTGTAAGATATTTGTTATTCCACTGCAGATCAGCTTCTGAATTCAATGAGCGAGCAAAATCACCTCAAGTGTTTTTATTTCGTCGTGCGACCAGATCGAGCAAAAATTAGCGAGAAAGCTGGCGTGCCATCTAGACATCGCAAGGTCTAGGAATTAAAAGACACTGCACCGATTTTCGGGCAAAGACAATCATTGCCAAGGCATGTTCATGCTTTATGTCTGATGAATAAATTAGTGTACCCTCTCCAGGATGTCCTTACATTGCCTTCAATGAGATGCGATAGCGTGCCGACCTTGATGGCAATTGATTCGCGGAGAAAATTACTCGGTGCAAACTCGAACCAAACGTGGATTTTCAGCAAGTTCGAGCATGTCTTTCGACTCATTCATGATGAGTAGTGCCCTAGGATATGTGCTTGTCAGCAAGAGCTGCAAATTTTAACACTGCTCACATTAATATATTTCATTGATAGCTTAACAGAGGAGTTGTGAATAATGGTCAAAGAATGATGTTAAGCTGACAATTTAGTTTCATTCCAAACAGTGGCTTCTACAGAAACTGTTAATGCTCGAGCAAGAAAAACATCTTGAAGTATGGGCTCAGCTCTTCCTTTGAATGCAACTTTCAGCCATCGGATGAGTATAGCTAGGTGCTAGGGACTGAATAGGGAATCAAGGCGTATTTTAAGCGCTTTCAACGTTTTCTTTCGACGAAATGAGATAATTTATAATCTAGTTCATTACCTTTAAGCTTTGCAATAAATTGATGTGCAGGTATTGAAGCAGGTCAGATATATGATCTTCAGGTTGAGACGCTTAAGGGGTTTGATAAGGGAGAAAGATCGGCAAAGAGCGTTACTCGGCACGGTTGATCGTTTGTTGCCATCCAATAACTGTTGAAAGAACAGACAGAGATAAAGCGTTTGCGGGGACGAGCAGTTCTGTCATTGTATTCGCGTTGAACGAAATAGGTCGTACAAAATTAATAGTCTCCTTCCGAGACAGAACAGCAACTCCAAACTTGTCGCTGAATATAAAATTTAAAACTTATAGATCAATATTGCCGCTGGATAGTCAGGCTGATATTTCAGCTTTTCGCTTATTGCTTGGTATGCATCATGCACGTCGATAGTTGTCGTCTGCAAGATTCACTTTTGCTTAAATGTTTCTGTGCTTTTAGACAGTAGCGCGTATGACAGCAGTACACTTCAAATGTCTTCGAACTGCTGCCGTAAGCGAAGCTTGTTTTAGCGTCGTCCATTTGGTAGATGGAGGATGTTCACGTTGGATGGGTTTGCTATGCTATGTGCGAAGTATACAGGTCATTACAAATCTTGTTTGCTTGACCACACGACAAGTGTATTTAACGACAAATCCATGAGATATCGTGCATTGTTGAATTACGCGATTTATACAAATTTGTCCATGTAAAACGAATGACCTGGCTGTCAAGTATTTGGACAAGCAAAATACTGTGAAGCAGTTTTAACTACTCGATATTTTATCGACTGCCGCTGCTTGTAGACAGACATGTGAATGATTGAGGATCATTTTGCCGGGCCTTCGCTTAAGTCTTTTTGGCAAGCAAAGCAGGATCAATACTCTATCAAGTCCCTCAATCATTTGATATGGGATTTTAAAAGTCTCGTTCAAAACATAAAAACGACAATTTATTGCTTGCAAACTATAAACAAAGACATCAGCGCGAAGTGATGGGTCATGTTGACCGCAATTAGCCCGAGTATCCATTTTGTGTAAGCAATTTTCTTGATAAACTTTACGGCGTTTGGCTGCTGCTCGTGTTGGTGCTGTCAGTTCTAATCTGGCCTCCCTGACTGTTGCTACCTTGAACGTTGGGATTGTTTCCACTCGAGTTATTCCGGTCTTGGTTGTTGGGATCTACGGTATTATTTACGAGAGGAATTGCAGGATTCACGTTACCAAGAGCCTCGGTGGCCGGGAACGTCGTATTTTGATTTCCTCCAGTCGAGCTTGAAGGAGATTTGGAGCATTTCACCGCCTTTTTTAGTAGCATGCTCACTTCTGAGTAGCTGATCCCCGTGCTAGTCACGGCGTCGGGGGCAGGTTTTGTCCGAATAAGCCACATAAAGTCAGGGTGATCCACGTCCGAATTGTACACCCATTCGCCACCAACAATTAAGCCCTTCTTATTCAATTCAAGCAGATAGTAGTAGTACATACCATTCGTGTACTGATCAATCTTTTTTGAAGACACAAGAGGACCATCCTCATAAGACTCGACGATCCACGATAGACGAGTTTTTACGTACACGATGCTCTTAGCAGCTTCATTCCAAGGGTATTTTTCTAGTCCATAAAAGGTTTGTGCGGCTTCTTTAAGCGACATGGCAGTTTGTTCAAAGACCTTGAAACCACGTACAGGCTGATTCCAAACTTCTCTTCCTGCCGAGACATCAACAATGAATGAAGACTTAAGCTTGCCAAGAATATTCGTGGCAACAATGTGGAAAAAACCCGGATTCATATCACGTAAAGCGGGATCCTTTGAGCGGCCATACGCATCCCTCTCAGTGGTGCCTGTTCGAAAGCGAGCACCGGTGAAGACGGTCCCAACCTTAGTATCATCATAAATGACCGAGACTAAACCCTTTAGATCTAGAGGCTGGAACGTCACGCCATTGTGCGTCACTGGACACTCTGGTTCGGGCTCCGAGATGGCTGCTCCGGCCCAAGCGTGACAGATACCAAACCACGTTGGAACACAGCGGCCTGTGCTCTCGCCTTCGCGCTTAGAACAATTACTGGCAATGTCGGTACCAGCACATTGAGCAGACTCCGAGCACTGACGGGCATTGATCCTTGAATCAATTCCGTATTTTGCAGAGATGTTGTCCATGAACTTTGTCACATTCTTACCGAAGGCCATGGCGTACTTCGCAGAAGCACTTGGATTTCCTGGACTCCAGACAACGTTGATGCTGTCTTGGTACGTAGGCCAGTACGGAGCAGCCCATGGTGCCGTCGTGTGGGCAGACTCCGTCGGAAGTTTCTTGAGCTTTGTCTCCATCTTAACACCGAAAAAAGCTTCAACCTTTTCAATGTCAAGATTCGAATTGCTTATAAGACGTCGATTGTGCTTATCAGTAGAATCATCGCTTTCTTTCTGCTCAAAGGTTGATGCTTCCCAGCCGGTGGCGCAGTCTTTAGGTTTTGTTTCTGTTAAAGGTGTCGAGATCAAGGGTGAGCTTACGTAAGCATAAGCATCATTGTCATTTGGGATATCTTCCGACACGATTGAGGTTCCCACAATTTCAAAAACCGATTTGATTGGGGCGAAAGTTGTATTCGTCAGAAATTCCGGATTTGTTACGGACGCCGTTGGGATTGTAGTGACATCTGGAAGTGTCGGGTCACTTTTGACTTCAAACGTCGTGTGCTCATCTGGTACTTCGGAACCGGCTCCGGGAAAGTTTCCGCAAAGCTCATTCACCGTTTCAGACGTGGTATACGTCGTATAGTACAGTGATGCACCAGAAGTCTGCTGTATCTGTACCATCAAAGTGGCTACGGTAGCACTCAAGACGCAGAAACAGGGGGAAAAGACCATGGTACCGATTGTAAGTCGGTAAGTAGCGGAGGGAGCCTTGTAATCCTCTCTAGACTGAGAGGATTGACGAATGAGTAGAAGAAATGTGTTGCTGGCAAAAGACGCCCATCTCTGTCGTTTTTTATAGGAAGGACTTTCAAGTACCAGATATAGAGAGAACTGTAGCAGATTGGTTGAGGAACTTGAAGTAACGTTACAGCATAGGGTTCGATCTGATTATACATCGTTGTAATCGGTAGGGTACATCTTAAGCGATATTGAGTCCTCGTAATGTGCTTTGAAGGCGTCCCGTCAAAAGTATTGAAAAACGTTTTATTCTATGGAGCCAGCTATAATTCTTGAGCTAAGTAAGCATGAAGTCACATAGCGCTCAAGTCAGTTTGGTGATTTCTTTCGAAAGAGACTATGACCAAAATATGCACTATCTTATGCAGAATAGCCTCTCCCATACATATAGGATCTACATACTACGTGTTTTTGAGTAGTAGAAGCTTTAAAGCTAGTATTCTGATTAAACAGCCCACTTGTGCGTTTCTCCTTTCAGAACCGGCTTGGACCGCTCTCCTTTGTTGAATGGATTCCTGCGATGATCGTCGAACAAAAAGCAGTAGCTGCTATAGAATTCCTTCCATCAACTATATGGGCTTTCCATTTTCAGACGTATTTCTTTACATGAGCATACTAAGACCAACAGCTTCTTGGTGAGTAATGACCATGTAGCGCTTCAAACGTCACTATTTGGGTAAATAGTTTTTTCAACTGATTTGATGATCGATGTGTGATGAATACTGAAATTCAGGATAAACATTTGTGAAGTTTGAGAATTATGGGCTGGAGCAGCAAATTAGCTCAATATTGATAGCTTCTGGAAACGTCAAGTTTGATTTGAGACCAAAGGCCGATGATATTTTTGATTTTTTGACTTTTGAAATAACTTCATCACATAGAGAAACGACATAATTTCGCAAAATTTTCAATTGACAGGAGGAGATTTGACATCGATGTTAAATGTTAAATACTAATTGCTATTCGTAATGCTATTGAATGTGTTACTCTCAAGGAAAAAATTAGAGTTTGGTCTGCTTAAGAACTTAAACACTGCAATAAGCAGTTGGTATACGAATTCATTTCATTTTTCGACCGCAGATATCGGTGGTACCGTCATCACTGCGTTTCTTAAAATGCTTAACTGCACCAGCTATAAAGTGTAGACACAGAGCTTTAATACCCCCCCCTTCGCCTTAAATCGACATGTTGACATTTCAGTGCTATTGACTGCTTTTTTTAGTTGTTGGCCATGCCAAACCAAGCAGAGATCGAGATCTAGAGTTTAATTCTACTTTAGTGGTCGTATCTACTGCTCCCTAGCATCACCAATGTTTAGCCATCCAATTAATTTCTTAGCTCAGCAAACATCAAAGAATCAATAAAGCTTGATCCAAATCAAATACGATACACGAGATTTGCGAATTTGACCTTGAGCACTTACAAGAGTTTGAAGGTAAAGGCATCTATGATCTCCTTTACACGATGGCTATTCGGTAATAATTTCAATGTGTGCAATATTTGAGTTTCATCATCGTATCTGTTACATCTACGCTCACGTCAAGAAACCAAGCGGTAAAGAGTGATACGAAATTATATTACGATTTTGAAGTCACTCAGCATCACCATGTCGTCGTATTGTCGTGTGATACTGAAGAATATGATATGACTGCTGGACGTTGATGAATTGACTCGCACTTGGACTCAATATTTTCTTATTTTCTCAGTGCGCCAGTCTCTAGACTGTTTTTTACTTTAAAGGAGGGTCCAACGTGCAAGGCATCATGTACATAAGTGATTTGCACCCGGCATCACAAGCGTGGACTTTCATTCATAAATCGTAGAGGTGTCTCGCTTCGTCGGCGAACATATTTATCTATCAACGACCACGAGGTAGATCAGTTTCTGGTTGCCGAATAGCGCTAAACAACCATTGCTTATACATAACCATCGACAAGGGGCAGTGGTCCACGACCTCGATCATATTTGCGTCAATGCCTTCTGCCGGTTACCAGCTCTTTCTGCTATACGAGCGATCATTCGGAGGTATCAACAAAACAACCGCACATTGGTACCAAATAATTTGTGTTGGTGAGTAACTAACCAAGGAGCTCGGAAGATATAGATCTACAAAGTGCTTAAGGACAAAGTGTCACCGCATCGACGGCTGAAAGCGCTCCAATTAACGTTAAGTACACACGCAAATGAAATCCCTTGTCCCCACCGGTTGATACTGTCTGAGCAAGACACTGCGTTTTGTCTTCCTCAATGCGATCGAGTCTTCGTTCCAAGGACAATTCGGCACGCTGGTCCGATTGACATTTCAATTGTATTAGCTCGTGTGGGTGCATTTGCCCTTCTGTCAAGCTGTGTCGACTCATCAAACATTGATGGGCTCGACTTTCGTGTAAGTCGTGAGAAAATGAAGATTGGATATAAGTAAAATACCGTCTGCGTTTCAATGATAAACATGGGATGACGCGATGACATCCTAAAATATTGTATACAAAGTGACTCGTTGTCGCATTTTTGACTGTGTTTCTTCACGGCTGATGCAATATCGAACCATTTATCCGTATGCCACGACATCGCAGCACAATGATGCGCAATATCATTCTCGCGATGAGCAGCGGCGTCGACAGCAGGAGTATTTTCAGGCTTTATCTCAACAGGTAGCGCAACGAGAGCAGCAAAAGCGCCTTGAGCGTGAACCATCAGTTCCAAATTTTCGACACAATGATGTAGTTCCTCATCGTCAGGAAGCTTTCGAACTAGCTAACCATGGGATTTTTGACGGATTGGGGCAAAATCATCCTCAAAAGGCAGGAAATAGCTATGCGCGTAGACAACCTCAGCCATATCAGCGCATGTCTGCTGAAAAATCTTTAAATAAATCGCAAGTTGATCAGTACTTACCGAATGCGAAAATGGATTTACCATCAGGTTTCGAACCTTCCGACATGCATCGACCAGTTGGTGATCCCCAATGTGAAGTATCTGGTCTCTCCAATCGTCAACAGCTTTTACAGCCGCAACAAATTTGGCCAAACTCAATACACAAAGACTCCATACCTTGTACTGTCGGGAACGAGTTAGATGGCCAAGCCTTTTCACAGAATCCTTCGCAATCAAGAACCGATCAGTTTTGGGCAGAACCAGGCAAATCAGCAATGCCGGCAGGTTTCTCAGATAATGGATCTTCACCGCAAAAGTTTCAAGCAGGTATGTCTCAAGACACGTTAAACGCTCCTATTGCACGCCGTCGAGCAACTTATCGCAATCGTGGTCAAGGAGATACTGAGGAGATGGAAAGACTACGTCGTAAGGCGATACAGCAGCACGAAATGCAATTGGCGCTAGAGCGACAAATCGAAGAGAAACGACAGCAAAAGCTAGAGGCTAAAAGGAAGCAGGACGAAGAGGATCGACTTGAGCTGAAACGTTTTGAGGACGATCAAAGGCGACTACGGGCAGAGCAAGAGCAACTGGAAGTTGAAAAGCGTCGAAAAGCTGAATTGGAACAGCAAAAAGTCAATCAATTAGCAGCAGCAGTTGCAGCGGCTAGTTTGCAAGCCAAAATTGAACAGCAACAGAAATTACACGCTCAAATTGCACAAGCACAAGAGCATTGCAAGTCATCGCCACAATTAAAACAAATTGAAAGTTCTTCAGACATCTTACCCAATAAATCATTGTCGAAATCCCGAGCGCATCTGTATGAAGATCCTCAACCTCAGCGACTGGATCCGATAGCTATCAGCAACAACAACAACCAGAACGCGCTTTTACGAAACAGTAAACACGAAAGTGGTGAAAGAAATGATGCATCGAGCTTTAATGAGCTGCGTCGTCAATACGACGATATGCGAGAGGAGTTAAAACGACAAAATGAGATTGTCAATCAGCTTCGTCAAGCTCAGGATCAGATGCAGCAGCAACAACAAAAATCGTCTGTAAATGTTCAGAGCAAAAATGTTCTAATGTTGGAGGATCTAGAGATTCTTCGGAATGAATTACGTGAAGATTTGGCACATCAGGAACACAGCCACCGACAAAAGACGGATTATATTGACCAAAACCAGCAATTGAAGCAAGCATTTGCAGGTCCAGGAAGCGAATCCCCCGAAATCAAGTACTCGCGTGAGCTACCAGGACTTACCACGATGTTACCGAAAGAATGCGCAAATTCCTTGCGAGGTGACAGCACCTTTGTATATTTTGATACTGAGAACGAGAATCAAGAAATTTTACATCAAGAGGATGAACAAGCGCTTTTTGAACAGAGTGAATTGATTAAGGTCGAATCGGTTATGCCTCGAAAAAGCAATTTACAGTCCGAGGAAATGTACAGCAGTTACGTGGAAGCTACAACGTTTGATGATACAATACAAGAGGAACAGGAGGTTGCTGATACGGATAGTGAAGATGACGCTGTGGAGTTTATTGTGACAGATATTGCATCTTCTTCCTTGTGTCAGCCCGTTTCTTTATCAAACGCTGCGAGTCGTAGGGCGAGCAGTCATCGGTATTCCCAGCTGCCACCAGCAATGTCTGTACCCCTACACTCTTATGATCATGACAAGTGGCGGGATAAGTCTGTCTGCGTTGACAAAAGTGATGATAGTGACGAAGATCTGGAGGAAACTTTGGATGGCGATCAGCTCGACGCACTTTTCCAGCGCAACATGCGTCGACACGAGATTTTTATGGGTTTCCAGAGTAATGAGAACCAATACCTGCATGATTCTAATTGTCTAGAAGAAGACAACTGCACGAAAGTGGCGTGGACGGATCAGCATCAAGCTTGAAAATAGTTGATAATTAACTGCATCATTGAATATTAGGCATCACGCGTGCGAATGCTTAAATTATGTCCTTAAACTCGAATTTTTGACTGAGAACTGACGGATGAATCGTTAGAAATGCATATATGTATCGATCCCTTACTTAGGCAGATGAGAAGTTTGTGCTTAGGTCTGATAAGTGTCATTACTGCCTCAATTTTGGATTGCCTCGCAAGACGCTATTGAGGTGGATGCCGTGGACAACAATGCCATTTAATAAGATCGATTATCGTACCGATAAGACCAGTTCCGGATGTATTAAAAAGTTATACCTACGTATATACGAATGACGATAGACGACTCGAACGGCTCATGTCTTACGTAAGGTTAGAGGTTTGATACTGTCCATGATCTTATGGAACCTCGGAGTCTTATGTTTGGGAAATATTTATCACAGAAGATGTGGGCTCACTTATATCAAAGACCATGGAACAATGCCCACACGAGATTCACGCACAGAGTCATCAATTGTAGAGTTTAGAAGATCAGAATTTTGGACGTAATGCGTCTTTGGTGTTCTCATTGTAAGGGCGATATCACCCTCAGGTTAAGAAAATTATTGACGTCGATACGTACGCAAGGGAAAAAATGAAGAAGTACAATTGTGGTATGAATGGTAATTAAACTTTGGCTCGGTTGATACCAATCGCTTCGATTAAAGTCAGTGAGCCACTTGCTGTATTTAACGATGGAAAGTCGCTTGCGTGGTATTCTTACGTCTGTGCGCAAGTGAAAATCCATCATTCGACTGACGGATATAAATCATCTGAAAGCCAGATATTCATCCAGCAGCTTTTTTTTTATACAATCTCTATACGATTAGGATGTGTTGCTCAACTATACGAAATCTTAGTTTACGCGAAGTGGTAAAAGGATATCAATAAGGTCAGCAGTGTTTCGATTATATTCAAGTGCGTCGACAATGTTTGATCGTTTGGCCACCGACAAGATGGTTCTCTTTCAAGTCTGAATACATTCGATCAATCCAAAAAGTCATTGGAGACATTTCTGTTGAGATTCAAGGTTGTGCAGTTGAATTATACTCAAGTCATTTGTGACAATTTCGGAGATAGAATGCTTAAAGAATTTTTGACTATCGCTTTTCGAGCTCAAAGGTATTCGACATTGAATTACGTTATAAGTCGAGACATGAAAGTTTCACTCACACAATGCATTTAGAGTAATGAAATTTGCAAACAAATGGTCTAGTCTGATATTACAAGTTGCTCATGTGAGTTATTTTCAATGTGGGCTCCATGTGTAGCTACTAGCTTTGAATTTTTTGGAGTTGTCTCGAACAAATTGCAAACACACTCTGCAAAACCATTTATTCATATATGAGAGACTAAGATGATGGCCAAGAGACCACAAAAGGATTTTCTGGGCCCAAGTAGCCGATGAGTAGAACAACGTGAGGTTTTCATACTTTCGACTCTGGATTTTGAGACTATCGAAGTGATGTTAATAACACTAGTGAAATTTTGAAAGTGGATTGAATTGTAAGTGAAAAAATGGCGTTCACCACCTGTGTCCGCTTCTAGAGGCTCACAAACCATCTCTGACTACAACTCGCCCAGCGCGTCTTTCTTGTAGAAGCTTCTGATACTGTGGACTCTCGAAAACTCGCTACTTCCGGTTTCCACAACACACACAGCTCGTGTTTCAGTGCATTCCCGCGCTTCTCAATGTACGGATGGACACGGCATGTGCGGTGCTTTTCAACCCTCCCACTCACATTGAGTTACTGCTCTTGACTTTTGCAACATGAAGAAAGAGGAACCGCTTTGTTGTGAGACGCTTTGTGAGTAAATCGGTGAACCAAATCCTCGTCTTGACGTACAACCCTCGACTCCATCCGATATAAATCCGAATGCCGTAGCTCGTCGACTTGATGAGTGCAATGGCCTCTTTATTGTCCTCATTGATAATAGTCACTCCTACAGATTCATCGCTGAGTAATGTGAGCAGCGTGAATGTTTTCATAACCACCTGGGCACACAAAACTCTACGCCATAGACTCGGCTTCAGTGGAACTAAGGACCACCGCCGGCGGTTACCTGTATTTTCAGCACCACTAAGCTGTTCTTAAGAAGTTTACCGTACGAGCTGGTCATCTTGCAGCACCCTGATCCCCTTCAGTTTGAAGTCTACGGTGCTCCAAAAAGCGACCCAAGTGTATCCAGCGTACTTCACGTCTGGGTGGTGCATATCGCCACATACAAAAAGCATCCTATAAATATGCAAGATAGTCGCTCAGCCAAGGTCATATTCATGCAGCAGCAATTGCGGAATGTTCGTGCGCAAGCTTCAATCTTGGTTATCAATTTTGCCACTCACCCAGAAATATCTTCTAGCTGGTCGGACAATTACATCCGTAACATCTCAAGTAATTTTTGCGCGCTTCAAACGCCTTCTTTGTGCGCTAATGTTTTTCCTAATATAAGTTCTCACTGATCATCACAACCAGCTCATGATTTCTCGAGTTCAATGAAGAGCTGCTAATCGTGGTCCGTCGACTCGCCGACAAGCGATGAGAGTGTCAAATTGATCGTTGTTGGCCACCATCGTGATACCGATATCTATGGCGAATGCACACAACTCGCGCGTCGTCAATTCGAAGTTACGCCCGCCCGTCATCATTCCACGCCTTTTGGACTGACACTCGACTTGAATATCTCAAGCAGACAGACATGACCTTGGCTGTCTTTCCAATGTTCTATTAATTCAATGCACTCGTTCTTCACAATGTCTAGATTGTCGTTCCACCATCTGTTAGTACTGCATAACAAATGCTTTCCCAGCTTTCCCACATGATCATTGCGTCGTGAAGCTCAGTTAGTTACTAAAGTTTGTAGTATTAATAAAAAAATTATATCATTTGAAACGTATATCATTTTCTTGATCTTTTTATTTGACCAAATAACTTACGTTTATTTTAAACATGACACGTACTTCCTAATAAATTTTACCATTCGAAGTTGTTTTAATGATCGAAAACTCGTCATGCGCGATCCCTGTAGCAGCCTCAATCATTGTAACTGTAAGATTTGTTGGAGTGACGGAGAGTTTAGTGATACCAAAGTGCTTATTGTCCATATGAGCCAACCATTGTGGGTGTGGAGGGTTCTCGTACGGGTAGAGACCTTCGGAATTACCAGCAATACCGGCAATGACGTGCACAGGTGCTTTGGGATTATGATAAGTTTTACCATCTTTAGACACACCGTCCATGATCACTTTACTATTTGCCGTCGGAAATAGGCGCTCATAAGAATGTACGTGCCCTTGGTACACTAAATCAACCTTGTATTTGATAAATAGCCCTTCAAATGCTTTCTGAACTTTCAGCGACTCGTATTCATCAGTAGGTCTACCATTCATATCGCAAGATCGAAGTGTGTATACAGGTCGATGCATTCCAACAACAATCCAAGGTACTTTAGCACGATTGGCATCAGCAGCTTTCAAATCTGCTTCTAGCCAAGCTAATTGATTCCCAAAGTTACCATACTTGCGTCTTGTGTAATATACATTTTCGGGTGCGTTCGGAAAGTCTGTCTCGCTTGAAATGGTTGTAAAATGTACCGAGGCATAGTCAAAAGAATACCACATGTTTAAAGCACCCCCACTTTCCCGCGAAGGCATTCGAAAGCGAGTATTAAATGCCGTATAGTTGCCAAGTTGATCTTTCTTCGTGTCTGAGACGATACAAGTTGGTGAGTGACACTCTGCTTCGTGATTGCCCACTACCACCATGTAGGCCATACGACGCATGACATTGGTCAAAGAATTCATAAATTTGTTCCAAAGCTCTTCGTAAAAGAATCCAAACGCAGTTTTGGCAGTCAAATAATCATTATCAGCATACGAAATATCACCTAAATGATAGATAAAGTCCACTTTTCCAGCCAAATTATTGACATACTTATTGGATGCGATTGAATTTTTTTCGGTGCCCATATCTCCATACACAGCCACAACAAATGGATGCGTATCACCAGCTGCACGAGAAGTTCTAAAGGAACTCACAGCACTTTGCGACATGGCATCAGCGACACAACCGACTTTGTAGTAATATTCAGTATAAGGCTTCAGACCCTTCACAATAGCGTGATAATTAAACAACGAATAGTCTTCATCTCTATAGTACAAAGCAACTGAAATGTTGGCATCTTCTACTCTCGTCAAATCATTCTCATTCGTACCCAGCCACACAGATGCGTCATCCTCAATTGCAAATGATGCCCAAGAGATAGCCATACCCGTTCCAGGCTCATCGCCTGCAAATGCTAAATGAAGTTGCTGTGGAACTCTTGTATGATCTCCAACATCCGTTACTCGACAAGCTTGGGATGGTGTCATATCACCAAACGTATATTGTATCGAACACTTGGATTTCGGTTTACAACTTAAACTTGACCAGTCATAGACACACGTTCTGTCGTCTATACTCGAATTTATGTGAGCACCTTTCTCTGAAGTAGCGTCTTCATGATCACCAAAAAACGAGTGAAGTATATTCCTGAAACTAGTAGCTTTTCCTGTCGTGAGAGACTGTGTGAAGATCGTAGCAAATACAATCGCAGCTACCTCAAACGCAATGTGACTGCGCATATTAATAGCGTTCTTTAGCAATACTCTATTTGTGAAATTCGAGAGTGTGAAATTGAAAGCTGGTTCCAATCATAAGGAATTATCTTACACTCGAAGTCCCACCTAATCATTGTAGACATTCGCTAAAAGTCTGTGGCTCATGATTTGTACATAAAGAAATGTCGAGAATGTCAGAACGTGATATTACACATTGTGTGAAAATAGTACCTTGAAAAGTAAATTGATATAACAGAGCCAGAGTATGGTAGTATGGAAACGAGATTGCGTGTATTACTCCATCCCCTGTTTTTGGCATGTCCATATGTATCGAGATTACCCTATACTGGCTTTTTCGAGCAACGTAAGATTATGTAAACGTATCAAAAAACACTTTTTTCTAAATACCGAATTACTTCAATATAACATACTAACACCAGAGCAATGTTGTAGACGACTGAACCTAGTGAGTAAGGAACTCTGTTTAACACAGAATCAAAGTCTTTGTTTTGTACATTAGTGCGGATACTATGTTCGGGTGGCAACTGAAAAAAACAAAAATGCGCAGTCGATCTTTTACTTGCGCCCGACAGATGATTCCCACTTTAAGACTGCTGCTGTTGAGCATCAAGGTCTTTGAAGGCCTGGACAGAAAAAATCTCTTTCTCTGGATAGGTAAAGTTGAGATTGCCATGAATTTGACCTTGCCCCAAATTGAGCCTCTATTGGGTGCGTCGAATTTCTTGTCTACCCGTCATTGGGGGCTAGGTCCGGAGTCCCAAACGGGTGTGGCTCGCACCCGTTCATTCAAACGCGTTCAAGGAAGTGGTGGGCGTCAAAGAATAATCTCTATGCTGTGAGAGAAGGATAGGGTGATGGAAGTGTAAACTCTACGCCCGCCAGAGGCGATATATCTCAGCCGTGCTGATAAAGAAGAGAGATATTTGTGCAGCTCCGCGAGACCTGCTGATGTTTAATAGCGGTAGTACAACACATCTGCGATGTGCGTACCCTCATCATTCTCAGCTGATAAATACGAATGGTGGGTCCATACGCAAGGGCAAGAAACGCAACCATCCCGGGGAAACGTCAAGTCCCAGTAGGCTACTGGGAAATATCTGGGCTCTGTAACCCTTCATGAAAGTTATGGTCAATGGGACCCAGTTCTGCAAGAACCAACTCTTCCTAAGTAAGATGGGCTAAAAGGCCACGATTGCTGGTCGTCGGTATCAACCACTCCGAGTTTGAGAAACTGATGAAAGTTCTGATATATTTAGAAGCGTTGTGTCCTTACATTCGACGCGTGACTGTCAATAAAACAGTCGCGAGTACGTCGAGACATTATGGATCTCAATGCGAATACAATATGTGTGTGCCACGCGACACGGCGCTGGTTGAATTCTCGAAGGCTACGCGTAATTGTCAATAAAACAGTCGCGAGTACGTCGAGACATTATGGATTTCAATGCGAATACAATATGTGTGTGCCACGCGACACGGGCGCTGGTTGAATTCTCGAAGGCTACTGAATCTTCATAGAACTATAAGAACTTTTGAAATTGGGGTGCTTTCTAACCCTAGACCTATACGACTCAAGACTGGGTATAAAGTGGCTAAAACACCACGAGCCATGGGCTCAATGGAGATCAGAAATGCTAGGTGCCGCATGCTTCTCTCATGGTGGGGCATTGGCGCGTCTTGGGCCCATATCTACAGAAACGCGCTGCTAGAGCACCTGCAGCAGAAGACGTCTTCGTCATTTGCGTCTGTGACGCCAACGTCAGTGACGGGTAATTTTCCCCGCCCTAGGCCGCTCATGGTGAGCATTCAGGTCTTTGAGGAGAAGGATAGAGAGAATCTCCTGCTCTGGATGAGGCCATCTCATCCGCCATGCTCCAGACCGAGCAACAACGCGTGGCGCTAGCCATCTCAAAGCTCGGTGGTCGAGCGCAAGAATGGGCACTGGCGTGCGGCACTTCGGTCGAAGCTGCGTTTCCCTCCTGGGCGGAGCTGAATTTGCAGCT